GGAATGCTCCGGAAGCGCCGTTCCCTTTGTGCTGGGCGAGTGAAATCCCTGGGAACGGCGGCGATTCCAGCCCCAAAATTCCCTCACGGAATTCTTTGGGAATTTTGCTCCCCGTTCCCTGCAGGGAGAAGCGGAACAGGAGGAAAAGCGGCAGAAAAAGCCGGGAATGCTGCAGGAAAAGCCGGGAGCGCTGCAGGAAAAGTCGGGAATGCTGCAGGAAAAGTCGGGAATGCTGCAGGAAAAGGAGGAAAAGCGGCAGGAAAAGATGGGAACGCTGCAGGAAAAGCCGGGAGCGCTGCAGGAAAAGCCGGGAATGCTGCAGGAAAAGTCGGGAATGCTGCAGGAAAAGCCGGGAATGCTGCAGGAAAAGTCGGGAATGCTGCAGGAAAAGTCGGGAGCGCTGCAGGAAAAGTCGGGAATGCTGCAGGAAAAGTCGGGAGCGCTGCAGGAAAAGTCGGGAATGCTGCAGGAAAAGGAGGAAAAGCGGCAGGAATGAGCTCATTGCTGGGAATTTCCATCCCTAAAAAATCCCGGGAAGGGTCAGGAATGAGGAAAAGCAGGAAAAAAGGGATTTCTTTTTTTCCCTGGATCCGAGTGGGAGGAGCTCCAGGAGAACTCCGAGCCCTGGGAATCTCCTGAGTCAGCGGATTCGATTCCCACCGAGGAAAATTTCAGGAATTTTTCCCTTTTTCCATCGATTTCCAGGAAATCCCGTTCCTTTTCCATCCTTTTCGGTGATTTAGGCTTTGGATTGGGAGGAATTTGGGAATTACAGGAAAATTTTCCCTTTTTTTTTCCCAGCGCTTCGGCCTTCGGCGCTTCCCGGTTTTTCATTTTCCACCTGTTTGTGGAAATTCCGGAAAAATTCGGGATCTTTTTGCCTTTTCCACGAATTTCCCTCTCTCAAAGCGGAAATGCCCTTTTTTTTCCGCCCGGTTTTGGGAATTTTTACCTCAATGTGAATTTTTTCAGGACCTCGATTTTTTTTTAACTTTTCCCACCGTTTTTCCATAAAAATCCCTCATTTCCTGCTCATTCCCAGCATTTTGGGCTCTGCCACACGGAAATTTGGGGTTTTTTTGGGGGCGGATTTTCAGGAATTTCGGTGTTGTCCGAGCAGCTTTTCCCCCACCCTGGGGAATTCCATCCGCGTTTTCCCAAATCCGGGAATTCGGGGATGGAATTTTCCCATGGGAATGGCCCGAGGGAGGAGCAGCTTCCCAAAACTCCTCCGGTTCCTCCCCTCCCGAGCCATTCCCACTTTTCCCGATTTAAATCCTCCAAATTTCCCCCTCCTCCCAGGGATGGAATTTTCCTCGGGATCGCTCCGCAGGATGGATTTTCCCAAAAAAAAAAAACCAAAAAAAAAAGATGGAAAAGCCTCGTTTGGGAAGAGAGAGGAAGAGGAGCCCCTTGGGATGAAGGTTTTGGGGAATTTTGGGAATTTTGGGACCCGTCCGAGGGATCCGAGCCCGTTCTGGGCTGGGAAAAGCTGGAATCGGTTAAAAATAAAAAAAAAAAAAAAAGAAGAAGAGGGAAAGAATTCCAAGAATTCCCGTCCCACCTGGAGAATCCAGCGGAGGATCCGGACCGGGAGGATTCCATGGCGAGGGAAAACCGGGATCTTCCCGGGAGAATTCCAGCGGCGAGGGAGGATCAGGAAGCGCCGGCTCGGGACGGGGAAGTCTCGGCCCCGGCCACGCCCCCAAAAATCCAGGGAAAAAGCAAAATCCAGGGAAAACGTCAGCCGGAATTCCCGGGATGGGCTCGGGCTCCGCTCGGGATTAAAGCGGGATTGGGAAATCCTGGGATTCTCCTGCTGGAGGGAAAAGCGCCGGGCCGGGATCCGGGAATGCAGGGGCTGGTCGGGAGATGTTCCCGGGATCCGGGAGCTGTTCCCGGGATCCGGGAGATGTTCCGGGATCCGGGAGATGTTCCGGGGATCCGGGAGATGTTCCCGGGATCCGGGAGATGTTCCGGGATCCGGGAGATGTTCCGGGGATCCGGGGGCTGGTCCAGGGATCCAGGGCCTGATCAGGAGCTATTTCAGGGATCCAGGGGCCCTTCCGGGGCCGTTCCCGGGCTATTCCAGGGATCCGGGGGCTATTCCAGGGATCCGGGAGCCGTTCCCGGGCTATTCCAGGGATCCAGGAGCCGTTCCCGGGCTATTCCAGGGATCCGGGAGCCGTTCCCGGGCTATTCCAGGGATCCGGGAGCCGTTCCCGGGCTATTCCAGGGATCCGGGAGCCGTTCCCGGGCTATTCCAGGGATCCAGGAGCCGTTCCCGGGCTATTCCAGGGATCCAGGAGCCGTTCCCGGGCTATTCCAGGGATCCGGGAGCCGTTCCCGGGCTATTCCAGGGATCCGGGGGCTATTCCAGGGATCCGGGAGCCGTTTCCGGGCTATTCCAGGGATCCGGGGGCTGTTCCGGGGATCCAGGAGATGTTCCAGGAGCTATTCCAGGGATCCAGGGGCCCTTCTGGGGCTGTTCCAGGGATCCAGGAGCTGTTCCCAGGATCCAGGAGCCGTTCCCGGGTAATTCCCGGGATCCAGGAGCCTTTCCCAGAATCCAGGAGCCGTTCCCGGAATCCAGGAGCCGTTCCCGGCTATTCCAGGAGCCGTTCCGGGGCCGTTCCCGGCTATTCCCGGAGCCGTTCCGGGGCTGTTCCAGAGATCCAGGAGCCTTTCCCGGGATCCAGGAGCCGTTCCCAGGATCCAGGAGCCGTTCCGGGGCCGTTCCCGGCTGTTCCCGGAGCCGTTCCCGGGATCCAGGAGCCGTTCCGGGGCCGTTCCCGGGATCCAGGAGCCGTTCCGGGGCCGTTCCCGGCTATTCCCGAAGCCGTTCCCGGAGCCGTTCCGGGGCCGTTCCCGGCTGTTCCCGGAGCCGTTCCGGGCTCCGCCGCCGATGGAAGGCGGCGCGGGCGGAGCCGGAGGCTCTAATTAAGCTTTGCTCTAATTAAGCTCTGCTTTAATTAATCAGGGAAGCGGGGGCGGGGCTGCGGGGGAAGATCCGCTCGTTTTCCCTGGATAAAAGGAAGGAATCGCTGCCTTTCCCTTGAAATCCGGGATGTGACGGGAAAGGCTCTGCCCGCCCCTCCCGCGGCATCCCGGGATTCCCAGCGGGATCCGCTCCCTCCCCTTTTCCCTTTCCCTTCCCTTTTCCTTCCCCTTTCCCGAATTCCCGGCGGTGTCACCTGGGATTCCCCGGAATTTGGGATCCCCGGGATTTGGGATCCCCGGAATTTGGGATCCCGGGGATTTGGGATCCCCGGGATTTGGGATCCCCAGGATTTGGGATCCCGGGGATTTGGGATCCGGGATCCCTGGGATCGGGATTTGGGATCCCCGGGATTTGGGATCC